TTCTTCTGGCCTTTAGAGTCTTCAAGCCATTGTAATAATTAGCCCACAACGAAATGTTCTTTTAAAGAGGAGCTAAGGAGAATAAATTTAAAATGCAATCAGTTTTTGAACCACTGCTGTAGTTGAGAGGACTTCTGAGGACCAGAGACTCTAAGAGGTCTCTTCTTTAACTGTGACTTGCCAGAGGTGGGGTGTGGGGGGGTGTCATAAAAGATGAAGAAGAGTTTGTATTTAATTTTTACACTTTCACCAAACTAAGATGTGGTGCAATTTACCCAGCTCAGAGGCAGATTCTTACTGTGGCGGCGGGGGGGGGGGGGGGGGTGGGGGGACGCTATAGCTTATACAATTAAGGGGACTCTTCGTTACAGAAAATGCAAAATTACAAATACAAAATTAGGTACAGCGTTCCGAAGGAGCCCCTGAAAAGGACAGGGCCTTAAGCTAAGCTTAATTAGCTTCCCAGAGATCTGCCCTGGTCTGACTCAGAGTTCTTGAACCAAGATAACAGGGGAGAGTAACGGACACACTTACTTTCCTTTAAGAGTTACCCTGCCAAAGAGGAGTTTCGGGGTCACACGTGAAAGCTAGAGGCAGCACCCCAGAGCCCCGGGAGACTGTGCGATCTCTGTTCTTTTGGGGGATACTTGAGTTTCTGCGGATGTTCGAGCTCCGAAGAAGCTGTACTTGTTGACAATGGCAGACGCCCAGTTCTTGATGCTCATAAAACCATGGCAGTCAGAGTTGGAAAAGATGTATTAGGTCATCAATCTAGATTCAGGTCCAAGGCAGGATGGTTCACTATTGTAGTCATTCCAAGCCTTTGTCCAGGCAGCTTGGAAATGTCTTGAGGGCCTCGCTCTTAGAAGGCTTAAGAATTTTCCTCTCTTCTGGTTACCGGGCAAATGTTGAGGTGTTTGATGAAAAAAAAAAAAAAAAAAAAGGCAGTTTAAAGTTGGAGCCACACAAGTACTTAATTATATCCATTCACCTAGATTTCTATCAGTGTTTTCCACATGAAGAAAACGATTTAGTGTAAAGAAACTCTTGTGTCTCCGGCATAAAGTTGCCATCAGGGAACAAATCACTGATTTTTTCCGGTTCCTTGTATTTCAACTTTGGTGGCGAGTTTCTTTTTAGCCTTAGGAAAAAAGCTAACTTGGTTGGGTTCTCCTTAGCCAGCATTACCAAGAAAGAGTAATGTGAAAAGCTGCTTTTGCTAATAGAAAATGACTTCCTAAACACTTATTTTGGGTCTGTTTACCTGTCTTTGGTGAACTTAATGTGTTCCCAATTTTTATTTTAGGCTTTTATGGGGCTATAAAAATGGGGAATCTGAAAGCTCAGTTTTGATTTTTTTCATGTTTTCCTTGCAGTCCATGTTGGTGATGATGCTAATCTCCCAAAAGATTTTGACGGCTACTTTTTTGTAGCAACGAGAGGATTGTTCTAGACTCAAAGTTGAGAGTAGACTTGAATTGTTATCGATTGACTAATGTCTGCTGTATGTCCTGGTGAAATTTCTGATCCCTGTGCCTCACGTGTGTGTGGTTCGCCTGCTTGTTCTTTATGTGTTCGGTGACTTATGGGTTTGCTTCTTGTTGTTGTTGTTTGCCTTGCAAATACTCAGAACAATTCTTTCTCTGATAAGTAATGCCATTAGCAAATATAAAGTGTTAAACATAATATAATATTTGACATTTGCACTTGAAAGTTCATTTCTGTTTTAAGTCAAGACAGTCGACACTAGTTTATTGATGTTAGTGACATTATTATTAGTAATGGGCTCTTTCAGCAGCAAGCAATCCTCAGGAACCTTTTTTTTTTTTTTTAATTCCCAAAGATGAGCTTTCAGTTTATCAACTATTAAGAAAATAACCGCAAGGCTCCATGCTGGGCTGGGCATGGAGCCTGCTTGAGATTCTCTCTCTCCCTCTGCCTCTGCCCCTCCCTCCCCCAAATAAATAAATAGATAATAAATAAATATAAAATAATTTTTTTAAAGAAAGAAACTAACCACAAATACTATCTAATACTAATTAAACTTAGGTGAGTTTAATTAGATTTAAAAAGCTGACTGAGAATTCATCCAGAATGAAAATGTGTTCATCAAAAACAAAAAACAAAAAACAAAAAACAACTACTAGAAAAGGTATAGGAAAGAAATAGAATTATGGGGCAATATTAATTTTAAATCTCCTGAACTGAAAAAATAAAGGTAGAAAGGATATATGTTAAAAGATATTCCTTTTATTTTAAAAATATTCAATACAGTATGTCTATCTCTGGGACTTCCTGTGACACCATCCTTTCAGAAATGTGCCTATCCATGCTAACAAATTACTAAGATAATGGAAAATAAAAATTCCTGAGAAGTACAAAATTACCAAAGGCACAGTGTCATTGGAAATCACTAGAAGAGGGACACCTGGATGGTTCAGTGGTTAAGCGTCTGCCTTCAACTCAGATAATGATCACAGGGTCCTGGATTGAGCCCCAAGTCAGGCTCCCTGCTCAGTGGGGAGTCTGCTTCTCCCTCTGCTTCTCTCCCTGGCTTGTGCTGTCTCTCTCCCTTTCTCTCTCTGTCAAGTAAATAAATAAAATCTTAAAAAAAAAAGAAAGAAAGAAAATCACTAGAATATTCTCCCAACCCAAAACCATTCGATTTGCCAAAAGCTTTTTTATAATTTGTGAATGTACTTAAATGTAATCTCATAAAGAAGTTAAAATATTTTAATTGTGCATTAAACAAATTCTCTTCAGGAAAAATAATGAAATTATATTAAGTTAGTACTGTCCAGAAAAATATGGGCTATGTAATGAAAAGTTAATGCTGCTGGTGACCTTAGTAACGTGAGCTATCCTAAACTCCTTACTGGCAAATAAGTTGTAAGCTCTAAAATGTATGGATCTCTGTAGAAGGCTTTAAACGTGGTTGGGTACAGTAAGGATTTCTGGAACAAATGAACATGATTGAATTCAGGTAGATCTCAGATTGATCACTGTTTGATATATGTTTCCCTGATTGTCTTTGTTATTAGGCCTGATTTCAATAGTAACTGATCAAATTATTGTATGTATTTACAACCCTGTCTGTGCAAATGAACCCTTTCCAATGTTCTCTGAAAGTCCGCATATTGGTTAGGAACTTGGTTTAAAAAGAAAATAAATTAATTTGTGTAATAGAGAATTCCAGTAGTAGACTAGATCCAGGTTCTCAAACAACATTGTCTGGAATGTCTCTCTCTTTCTCTCTTTAGATCCCAACTTGATGACTTTCTGTGCTGTGTTCATTCTTTTTAGACAAATATGATGGCAAAGAGCACCATTCGGCAACCCCTCAGTAGAAAGAGATTGTTTCTTTGACAATAGAAGCTGACCTCCCATTGTCCTAACTGGGGTGACATGCCCATCCCCGACCTGACAATAGTAGTCCGGTGGTGTGTGCGTATCTTAAAGTTTTCCGTGGCTGCCATCACAAATTACCACAGGCGGGATAGCTTACCAACAGAAAAGTATTCTTTCATATTTCTGGAAGCCAGCGATCCAAAGTCAAGGTGTCAGCAGGGCTGTGCTCCCTCTAGAGCCTCCAGGGGGAGATTCTGTTTCTTGCCTCTTCAGGCATTCCTTGGCTTCTGGCTGTATCACTTCAGTCCATCTCTGTGGCCTCGCTGCCTTCTTGTCCTATCTGTGCATCTCCTCCCTGTGTCTGTGTCGAACTCCCTCTGCCTCATCTTATAAGGACACACGTGATTGTATTTAGGGCTCAACGGGATAACCCAGGATGATCTTATCTCAAGAGCCTTAATTTAAATGCAGCTGCAAAGATCCTTTTCCCAAACAAAGTCATATCCACAAATACCAGGGATTTGGACACAAACATTTTTTTGGAGGGGGGGGCACTATTTAACCCACTTCAGCTGGTAAATGATGAACAATCTCCTTGACAAAAAAGGAGAAGCCCTGATATACAGCATTTACATGGTTGTGTGGTATTAATACTGCTAATGGTCAATTTCAAGCTGCCAACAGGAAGTCATTGAACCATGGAGCTGGGAAGAGATGCACAGTAGTGCACTTAAATCATGCAGATCCCATAGATGTAAGTAACCTCAAGAGCATGGATAATCGTAAAATGTATTCAAATAATTAGGAAGTGAGGAGTTTTGAGTGCCTAATAACTCTGTTTTAAATATAATTTATTTAATTATAAATGTATATACTTTAAATTTTAATGGTGATCATATTTAACAACTGGCTCACAGAATTCCTAAAAATTTTTCAGTTGGTTCAAATAAGCTGGCATGAGGCAGCTCCAACACGCCACTGGATAAAATGTGCTGATCGATCAGGACTGACTCACAGAGTCTGAGGCGTAGGGTCAGCAATATTCAAACCACATGAACTGAAAATAAGGTGGATGGTTCTTTAAGAGAAAGTTGGGGTGCTATTACGTAAAGAAGGGGAAAGGAATATTAGGAAGACAAAAACAACAAAGTCACTTCAGCACTGTTTAAATATATTTTATTTTATTTTTGTTTTGTTTTGTTTTTTATTCTTATAAATATATTTTAATGATTTCAGGCCAAGGAAAAATTTTTCAGCAAAGTTCAAAGTAGTTACAGGTATAAGTATTGTGGCTCTACTTGGATCTGCAAGTCAGCTCTCTACCTAAGGGAAAATCACTATTTTTCACATTGTCATTTTACTTAGCTCATAAAATCTGGTGGGTTTTTTTTCTTTTTGTTTTAACCACAATACATGTGTCCCGAGGTGATCGGCTTCAGAAAGAGACATAAACGAATGGTCTTTTTAAAAGTTATCATTTCTTGGGGTGCCTGGGTGGTTGAGTCGGTTAAGTGTCCAACTCTTGGCTTCGGCTCAGGTCCTGATCTCATGGGGTGATGGGATCAAGCCCCCTTGGGGGGCTCCCCACTGAGCTTGGCGTCTGCTTCAGATTCTCTCTCCCTCTCCCCCCCTGCTCGTCCCCCGACGCACTCTCTGTCTCTGTCTCTGTCTCTCTCTCTCTCTAAAATAAATGAATAAAATCTTTTTTAAAAAAGGATTTCTTTAAAATAATTTAACAGCTTTATTGAGCTATAATTTGCACACCATGCAACTCACCATTTAAAGTGCAAAATTCAGTGTTTTTTGATACATCCTCAGAGTTGTTCATTCTCCACCACAATTAATTTTAGGAGATTTTCGTCACCTTAAAAAGAAACTCTGTACCATGGTGCTGTCATCTTCCAATGCCTGGACTCTGACCTCCAGCCCTCAGCAACCACTTGTCTATTTTCTCTCTGTAGGATTGTTTATTCTAGGAATTTCATACAAATGAAATCATATGATACATGTTCCATTGTGACTGGCATAATGTTTTAAGGTTCATCAGTGTAGCATGTAGCCATATTTCATACCATATTTTTATTGCCAAATAGTATTCCATTGTGTGGTTATACCACATTTTTGTTTATCCATTCATGAGCTGATGGACATTTGGATTGTTTCCCCTTTTGGGCTATAATTGATAATGTTCCTGTGAACATTTGTGGACAAGTTTTTATGTGGACATAGATTTCATTTCTTTGAAACTAATGGTCTTTTAAGTTAAAATGTTTAGCAAGGTTTCTTATTTTCCACATGTTTAAAGGAGCTATCATTTATGAATTAGATCAGAAATGCCACATATAGAATTTCAATCCTCTTACATATTGGGTCAGTATCCCCAACCCCTTAAGAATCTGGGGACTGGCCCAGCCCAAAGGAGGAGTGTTGCTCATACACTTCAGGAAAGAGGAGGGCAGTGTTTGTCAGGAGGAGGAGCTAGCTCAGGTCACACTGTGCAGGTGTGGCTGAAATCCCCCTGCTGTACTAAGTCCTGGCCTGCCCACGATAGGCCACAATAATTAGTCCATCACAGCGCTCCTTGAGGGATTCTCCATATGCAAAGCATAAAGAATAATAAAAATACAACCTTACTCTTTGATCTGGAAATCAGACTCACGAGGTTGGGGAAACTTGCAGGAAAGTGGGGGAATTTTAATTTCCCTAACAGAGGCCAGGAGAGAGTTTCATTTTCTCTCTTGCACGATAGGAGAGTTCTTCGGCAGGTCCTGCAAACCTGTCATGGGGCGGGGAGAAAAAAAGCTCTATACTAATTTATATAGCAACTTTCTTCCAAGAAATTCAGTGTCTCAAACAGTCTTTCACTCATTTCCCTCAGGGAGTGTGCATGAATGTGCATTAGAAATTAGTTCCTTTAAAATGTATACTCCCCAGTCAGCCAATACTGGGCAGAAAGAGAACCAGAAAAGCAGAACTCTTGACCAAACATTCTACTATAATATTTTCAGTGAGCTTCTATAAATCAACACATCTCCTTAAAAACAGGACCTCCCTGTAATATCCCCGTGACTCTACTCCCTGTTGGCTACATTCCTTTCATCGGGGGCAAAACTTCCCCTTCCAAGTCAGAATCAACTGGAATGGCATGCCCCACGAAATGGAATAGTATTACTGACTTACAAGGAAGGGCTCAGGTCTGCCTTACAACAGGCAGGGTTCCCCTCTAGCAGCTCAGTGCTCTAAAACCAGCTCAACTGAGAACCGCTCAAGAATCCTGGGACCGACTCGCTCCAAAGCAAGAGTCCCGCTCATGAACCACAGGCAGAAAACGGGGGTCTAGCCAGTCCTCTCTCACTGTGGTTATTAGGTGTCTCTCCATGTTGCCTTGACACGAGGCTGCACGGCGCCGCAGGGTCCTACTGCTCAGACTGGGGAACAAGCATCCTCCCTTCCAATGTCCAAAGCCCGACTCCAGTGCCTGGATGGGTGATGACTCTGGGGAAGCCTCCAGCCTCAGCCACATGCAGGGCCCAGCCCAGCCCTCCACCCCGAACCAACCCCTTAGTCCCTCGTGTTGGGCCTTTCCTCCACATATTCTTATTGTGAAGTTCTCACTGCTCAGGCCTGAGGGGGGGAAAAACAAAAGAATATTGGTCAGGGCCCCCTAGCTCATGCAGAATCTCAGGGAATCACACCCGCAGAATATCTGTGCCTCTTTCCTCCCACCCCCAGAAAATCTCGGGGCGCCATCATTTCATTCCCGGGGATTCTCAGAGAATGGTAGGTCCTAATCCAGTTGGTGACAAAAAGTCCATGCTAGGGCCCCACGCGACATCCAGCCTCAAACATATTTTGTTTCGGCCCCCATACTCTGAAGCAGCACTTTATTTTAAATTTGTGTTAGTTGTCAATAAGGACTAACTACATAGTTTGCAGGGCCCAGTGCGACATGAAAATGCCGGCCCCTTGTTCACAATTTAAGAATTTCCAGATGGCCGCAGCAGAACATTAAGTATGGAGGCCCTTCTCGGGCCAAGGATGGGGTGCTGTGTGCATGTCCATGAAGCTAGCCCTGCTCCCAACATTTAAAAAGCGCAAGATTCTGAACCTCTCTTAAAAACAAAAAAAATCCCCAAAATTGGCTGGTGCCAGGTTGCGACTTGTATTCCTTTGCCAGGGTCACCATAACAAAGTGCCATAGATCGAGTGGCAGAAATTTATTTTCTCACAATAGCGGAGGCTAGAAGTCTGAGAACAAGGTGTCAGCAGGAGTGCTTTTCCCTCAGGCTTCGCTCCTCTGCCTGCCTGCTCACTGATGGCCGCCTTCTTGGTGTGTGGTCTTCCTGCTGTACCTGTCTGTGTCCTCACCTCCTCTTCTACAAGGACTTCTCCAGTCACACTCGAATAGCGCTACCCTAAAGACCTCCTTTTAACTTAGTAACACCTTTAAAGGCCCATCTCTAAATAGAGCCACATTCTGAAGTACTGGGGGTTAGGCCTCCATCATATGAGTTTTGGAGGTCAATTCAGCCCATGACACAGCTGTTCACTTCAGAGGGGCACAGAGCTCCAACTCTCTGCACTGGCCTGGGCCCCAGTGGTTGCCATGGGTGCTCCGGTGGGTGCTGCTCTCCTTCCCCCGGTTCACCTCTCCCCTACCTGCTCCCCTCCTGCCGCATCTGGAAGAGTGACACCGTCTATTACATGACCACGCCTGTGCCCACCCTCCACGTCTGCAAGACGACTCAAGTGAGCCTTGGCAGGGCTCTAACCAGTTTCTTAACAACAAAACCCAAAATGTAGCCATTACGCAGAGATCGGAGTTCAAGTGCAGCGTCGAAAGAAGAAATCGCCGTGAGGTACGACTGACTACTCATCCCAGTGATTAGACTGCAGGTCTTAGGAGAGGGAACTCTCAGCCACTACTGGGGCCGAGCCGACTAAAATCACGTGACCGGATAAGGGCTGGCCCTAAATTTCAGCGGAATCCCAACCGTACAGCCCCGGAGAGAGAGCATACTCTCAAATTGGTCTTTGTACCCTATTTGTAGAAATGTTAGCCAGATTATAACTGAAAACTCTGCTAATTCTGGGGACGTTTTTTGGTCTTGTGCCTGGAACTGTTGAAGCATATATTCACACCTACCGCATGTAACACTCAGTAGCATAATTTCCAGCACGACACTTTCCTACTTTATTTTTAAAAGAAACAGAGCAGAGACTGAAGACCTGCTCATTCTGTTGCTTTTTGCGGGAGGCTCCATAATAGGTGGAAGGGACGGCTTCTGTGCTGAAAAGAGGCATATTTTGCCTTTTTATAAGGAAAGGGGACGCAAAAACCTTTGCTCAGCATCAGGGAGCTCAGGCTGAAACATAGGACATGTGTACCTGCCTGCTAATAAAAATAAAAATAATGTCCAATTTGCAAGGCTCTTGGAGAATAGTGTAGTAATTCATAAATCCCAATATTGGAGCTTGGGAAAGCGGTTAAAAGCATGGTACTCTACCCGCTTTGATTCTAAGACAAGGAAAGGGAGGTTCTAAAATGTTGAATGACTCGCCCCAGACCGACACTCCACCTCAAATGCAGGTTTTTTTCTCTCAGGTACGTGGACTTCCCACCCCTCCAGGCTACTTCTAATCAGGCGTTGGCCTCTTGGCGTAAATTGCACGTAAAACAACAACAAACTCCCCCTCTCTCTCCAGCAGAGTCTCTATTTAGACTCCAGAGTCGAGAAAGCAAAGGCTGTTTCAACTTCAACTCCCTTAGCAAAGAGAAGAAAAGGCAGCCGCCTGACCCGTGGACTTTTCCAGCTGGACCCCAGGGCTCGCTCTAGTCAGCGAGCGGTGCTGACTGCTAGGATGCTGACACCAGGGGGCGCAGCATCCTTTGTCCTGACACACGCATTGAAGGCAGGCTCTGAAGTCTGGCTGGGCCTCAAAAAAAAATCTGACTTTCCCTCCTTCCACGGTTCTCTCTGGAACCGGCCCACTCCTCAACCCCCCTCATTCATCTCAAAACTGTTTTGGTTTTTTTTTTTTCCCTTCCTCCTGGACGCTCAGACTCTCCCTCTGTACTAACTCAGATTTGTGCATGTTTCTAGAAGGGCTTTTCAGAGACACCAGCCCCTCCCCAGCGGCTCCTCTTCTGCAAAGCCTTGGAGCCCATAGCCACTGCCCCATCATTTGCTCTCACCTGGAGGCCCCCCTCCCCACCAATTCAGGATTTGCTAACAATTCTTCCAGAATGAAGAACTCTCAAGGACGGGACTAGCTTTTCCGGAAAGAATGATTGCATGCATCCTCCAAAACCCTTCTCCTTTCCACTCACAGAAATAGTAACAAACAAATGCAATTATTGGTTCTGGGCTCCTGCGGCCCAGCATTCACCCTCACTGCCCTCTGTCTGCTTCTGAACGTCTAACATCAGCCTGCCCCAAGGGACAGGCTGAATCATCCTTTCAGCCACACTTCTTACCGACCCACTGTGCACCCCGAGCAGGACCAGTGCCTCCTTCTGCCCTCACCAGCTTAGCTCTAAGTGTTCTCCAGCAGAAAGAAATCCACTTCCCATTCACCGCCGTCTCTGATTCCAAAGGCTCAGTGTTCCGCTCTTTCACGGATAAATGTACATCCCTTACCACTTTAAGACACACTTCTATACCTGCTTCTATAGACACAGCACAGCCAAAATGCGAACCCCCATATCCGACAGACAAACACACCCTTTTGCAAAGAACCCTAAACATTCCCTATTTTGAACTGAAGGGCCACAGGGGCCTAAAGCAGGCCTTTGAAAGAGCTGCTCTAGTTACATAATGAAATTTCAAGTTTATAGTCCTCTCCCTGGCTCTCATTTGAGCCTCCCAACAACCCAGGGGGACAGGCAGGGAAATCAGAAGCCTAAGGAGCTTGCCCCAGTCCCAGCGCAGGCTGGGGGGCAGGCTGGAGGCAGCACTGGGGTGACTGCAGGTAGGTGACAGGGGCCCAAGGAAAGCTGTCTGTCCAGTTGCACCGAGGCCTGGAAGGAACGCAGCCCTCACAAATGATCATCAGGTTACCTGCACCAAGCGAGTTTATGGTCTCAGCTCCTGAAAAACTGTAGCATTAGCGGGTGCGGGTAGAGAGGAAAGGAAGGGGTGATGCGAACTCTGACCTGATCCTTCTTTTAAATGTGGCCTCACTACTCACTTCTTGTTTCTCCCACTCGCCTTTGCTACCGTAGCGAGTGATGGCAGTGCTGGGTCGGAGACAGGTAGCCATGGCTGGTGATCTTGACTGGAAGCCTCCGTCTCCCCATTCAGAAAGTAATGGTAACATCTATTAGATATGGACAGAGCCACTAAAGGGATGAAAAATACCAACATCATTCTGGAAAAGGGGGCAGAGTAAGACACTTACTTTCAGTTTAGGCCCTTTTGCGTTATTTGAAGTATTTTGATTTATGTATTTATTACTCTTATAATTTAAGAAAAAATTTATTGGGGCTAATAATGCTCTCTAGAGTTACCGTAATGATAACCTATGTAAAGTGTCTGGCATGGCAAATGGCCTGGCACACAAGGGATGCTTCCTGAAAAGTAGTGTATTGTCAGCTACACCAGCCTCAAAACTGAGCAAACGGACTTCGAACCAAGAATCCTGGGGTCTGGTGCAGACTCTGCTCTCGGCTCACTGAATGCCCTTGGGTAAGTCAAGTCCATTCTTTGTGCCTCAGTTCCCTCCTCTATAAAATTACAAGACATGGTCCAACTGAATTGGAAAATAATGGGAAGGCCAGAGCCAAGCTCACCACCAGAAGTGCCTGAGGCACCCTCTAAAATGCAGCCCGTCTCTGCAGAGGAGGCCTCGCAAGCTGGAGCTCATCAGGCACAAATCCTTCCCTTCCTAGGAGAAGCTGGCCTCTAGGGTGGGCAGAGAGGGCTGGAGACAGCTGAGCAAGTTCTGGAGATAATACAGAAATTAAGTGAGAAAACAAAAATGGGTGAAC